CACATCCAAACCATAAGATGGATCTCAATAATTGCACAATTCTCTTCAAGATACTCTTAGGTAGGATGATATGCCACAACCAATAGCTTTGCATATTTTATAAAACGGATTTAATAAGTTGAAGCCTACCAGCATAGGATAATGATTTGTTGGTCCAACTTCAAATTCTAGCTTCAATTTTATCCACCAATGCTGCACAATTCCTTGGTATCATTTTGGTTGAGATAAGTTGGATGGCCATGTACCTCACTAGAAGCTGCACAATTTCATGACCCAGGCTACACTTAATCTGCCCACTTTGGCTTTCAGAAATCCTAGCCATAAATAGGCAACTTTTAGTAGTGTTTGCAATTAATCCAGAGAGGGCTTGAAGTTTGTCTAGGGCCTTCTTCAGAATAGCAATTGAAGTTGGATCCCTATGGCTAAAGAGGATTAGGTAATCAACAAAACTTAAATGAACTAGCTTTTGTTTCTTGCACCTCCAGTGATATTTAAAGGCGCTAGAAGTAGAGACCTCAGCTTTGAGAATTAGAGTAAGAGCTTCCATAGCAAGGATACTTAGGTAAGGGAACATATGATCACCTTGTATGACTGTATGACACCCCTCTCGCTTGGGAGAAAAATCAAATAATTCACCATTCAAACAAATGCTAAACGTTGTTATGGAAATACAGTTCTAGATCCAGACAATCATGTTTCCTCGGAAGTTGAACCTCCATAGAACATAGATGACCAAGTGCCAATCTACCATGTCAAATGCTTTCATAAGGTCAACTTTAATGGCACATCTGGTAGATCCTCTTTCTTTATGGTAGTCCCCCATGAGTTATTGGGTGAGAAGAACGTTATCCCCAATTCTTCTACTTGGTACAAAAGCTGCCTGATTATGACTTATAATATCACCAAGTACGTCCTTGATTGTGTTGGCTATTGTTGATGTTTATCGATGAAAGATGAAAAATATATTGATTAAGTGTAAATCAGATCTGTATTACAAACGAATTTATATTAGGGCAACATAGTAATATAAATAATTAATCTACCCCAAATGCTAATATACTAGATTACTTTAACATCCCCCCTCAAACTCATGATGTGATAGCATCCAACATTAAGAGTTTGCCAAGGAGAAAACGAAATCGAGCGATAGTGTGGGATTTGGTGAAGAAATCAGCCAATTGCATAGTAGAAAAAAGATCGTGCCTAGCTGAAGATGATGGCGAACAAAGTGACAATCAATCTCTATATGTTTGGTGCGCTCATGAAACACCGAGTTGTGAGTAATTTGGATAGCAGTGGTGTTATCACAATACATAGGAGTAGGAGTAGTCAAGAAAATGCCAAGTTCTGCGAGCAACCAACGCAACCAAACTATCTCTGTTGTGGTAGATGTCATAGCACGATACTCAGCTTCAACAGAAGAGCGAGCTACAACAGTTTGTTTCTTTCTTTTCCAAGAAATAAGAAAATCACCAAGAAAGAGACAAAAATCAGTGGTGAATTTGCGATCCACAGAGTCACCAGCTCAGTCCGCATCAGAGTAAGCACGGAGCTCCAGAGACGAAGAAGAAGAAAATAATACATTCTGATGTAACGTACCTGTAAGACCCTGTATTAAAAATTAAATAAGGATATTATTATATTAGGATTTTTCTAAAGACGAATAAAATGATGGTATAAACTTAGAATTATTGTTGAAAGATTAATCACAAAGTTTGAGTTTTGGACAAATTGACTTTTGGATAAACTCCCCCCCCCCCCCCCCCCCCCCCCCCTTTTTTTTTTAAAAAAAAAAACATACCTTTTCTTTTTTTTTTTTTTTNCCCCCCCCCCACACTCTTATCTTTATATAACAAGTAATCATTTCCTTTTTGAAATGCTAATATTGTAAAACCTGGATAAATATATAAAATCGTTTGTAATAGAACTTGTACCAACTATATTTGATGAACAAATTTATGTTGTATAAGTTTGGGTTAGTGTTGGAAGGGTTTGGAATAGATTAGAAATGAAAAATCAGGCGTTTTGGGCAGCGTATCAGTACTGAGTACCGTTACTGTGAATACCAGAAGCTAAACTGTACCAGTACTGTGTACCGGTACTGTCTGCTCTGGACCAGTTTTCGTATAATTGTCATAACTTTTGATCCAACCGTCCGATTGTGCTTAAATTTTGACACAATACAGAGGACATCTAAATCTACAACTTTCATGTTTTGAACTTCTTCAGAGTCAAAGTGGATCATGGTAAAAAAGAAGGGAAGTCGAGATACTTCTACCAAATGGTATGGGTACTAGTGGCTAACTTTCCAAAGCTTTTGGACTACGTATTCTTTCCTTCAAATGTTATAAATGGACAATAATAGAGTACCAAAGATGGTATGTTGGACCTCGAATGGTTCAATCGATTTAAACCTTTATTAAGAGCGGTTCGAAGGAATAAAATAGTAATTTTAGTGTTTTTGGTGTAAATTATGTTAGTATAAAGATAAATCATAAAACTAAATATTTTTAGGTTAAAATGGCATTAAAAATGAATCTTAAACGTCTAAAAATCTTAGTGTAGTCATAGGGATTGAATTGGAGATATTTAATGGAAAAATCGTAATTTTAGAGAAAAAAATGTAGCTAAATAATCCCAAATCTGTTTGGCTGTGTTAAACTTAGTCAAATGCACATCAATGGTCTGATGAACTGAGTTGTTAATCCAAATAATAATTTTATCATTGTTAACTTCTCAGGTATTCTTTAATTCAGCACATTTCTCAGCCTTCAAATTTGTTGGTGCTTGCAAAGCACCACTAACATAATTACACATCTCTTTCCCAAACAGAAAATTCTTCATCACATAAGACCAATATATATAATTTTTATCATTTAATCTGACACTACTAGCTTGCAGAGAATCAGAATGTTCACTTGTCATAATGCTAACAAGAGATCTCAACAAAATAATACCCAAAATAAAGCAGAAAATAACAATAAATTCAACAACACCAGTATCTATGCCTAGCAAAGTCACTGGTCACAAAGCCCAACAAACCAAAGTTCAATAATACGTAGGTAGCAAACAAAATCCACAAAAATGTCAAGGCCCAGGAAAACAACTGCTCTTAGTGGATCAAAAGAAAAACAGTCCAGTGAGAATTAGGAGGAGGCAGCAGCAAGAAACCGAAATCCAATCACACAAGAAACAAAAATCCAACCACAAACTAGAAGCAAGAAATATACTAGGGCAATATAATAATATAAATGACTAATCTATCCCTAATGCTAATATACTAGATTATTCTAACAACTATAACCTTGGAGATGATTTTTTGTATAATATATTAGAACAGGAGATAGGCCTAAAATCACCCATGGAAGAAGGGTTAGGGCCCTTGGGAACGAAGGACAAGATAGTGGTGTTGACTTCTCTCATCAATAATATCTTTGGCCATATTTAGTGACTTCTCCTCTGAGAGTTGTTTCCAGGTATATTGGCAAGCTCCTCATCCTAGTTAAGAGAACATGAGGTACTAGCTTCAAGCAGGTTCTGAAAATGACTGATAACAGTTTCTTAACTTCTTCAAAATCTGTAGTAAAGGGTCCATCAGCTCTTGTAACAGGCAAAATCTTGTCCCTATTTCTCCTTGCATTGATTGTTCTACCGAAGAAAGTAGAGTTTTGGGCACCATCCTTTAGCCATTGAATTATAGATTTCTGCCCTAAGAACCAATCTTCATTCCTTGCAACATAAGCATACTCCTGCAGAAGATGCTTCTCAAGGGATCTGAGTGCAGCATCCATGGGGACAGAATCAAGAAGCCTTTGGCATTTGTCCAACTCCTCTTTTTGCAGCTTGAGCTTTTAAGGGAAACCTTCTCTTGTTGAGGCCTGTTAATTTTCTTAAATTCTTGCTTGAGCAGCTTTAGTGTTTGAGCAACTTGAAATTGTAAGGATTCTATCAAGTTTCCTAACAACACATTGATCTGGATGCCTCTTGTTAGACCAAATGTATAGCAACCAAACGAACCTCAGATCAGTTAACTCAGCTCCCTGTATACAGTTCTCAAATTCATACATGGCTTGATTCCCAGTTTCAGCTCCACCCATAGTCTCTTGAAGGTTTCTTACTGCATTAAAATCGCCTAAAATGGCCCAAGGCTTATTGGCAAAAAGCTGTGCTTTGTGAATTATGTTCTTCCATAGAGGTTTTCTATCCCTCTCATCATTGAAAGCATATACAAATGAAACAAAGAAGGTNCTATCAGCATATAAAGGCCTTCCCACTGCACTTGAAACATAGCTCAAACCATCCCCTATCCAGAACTCCAAGGGAAGGTTGCATAGATGGATCCAAGCAGGAATCTTNTGCACTTGAAACATAGCTCAAACCATCCTCTATCCAGAACTCCAAGGGAAGGTTGCATAGATGAATCCAAGCAGGAAAGAGTTGTAATTCTTGAGTTAGCTCTCCATATTTGGTTGCCACTTTTGTAAGATGAGTGGTCTGCCAGCTAAAATCCATGGTCCCAACTCCAAAACTTTGGAGCATTCAAGCTCATCGGAGAACTAGAAGAAAAAGAACCCCTTGTCATTAGCCAAAATGACAATGAGAACCCCTTGAACTAAATTAATGATATTGATACAATGAGAATCAAATAGAATATATATATTTTAGAGATTAAAAGTGCTATTAATCATAAATAAAATAAAATTATCTAAGCCATATGAAAAAAATAAAATTTTTTGTATTTTGTACCTTGCAAGATTTGAAATTTTTTATTTTATACCCTTAAAAAATAAAAATATTATAATGTGGCATTTCTATTAAATTTCGTTATTTTTTTTAGTCAAAAATCTACCCATTGACATTGATAAAAAAATTAACGAAATGACCACATTGGAATATTTTTGATATATTGAAGGTGTAATATTAATAAATTTAATCTTTAATAGTATAAATAAAACTTTTAAAAAATTTTCGGGTACAAAGTGAAATTCGCCCAGAAAAATAACTAGTCTGCCTAAAAAAAATAGGAGATTGTGGTATTATAACAACGCACTTTCCACTGCCCAATTTGAGAGAGAGGGAGAGCGAGAGATGGCAGCAACATCACCTTCGTCTCCATCGCAGGCCTCCACTGCCTCAGACTCTGACCAGGATCTCATAAAGCAGGTTCCAACTATCTCTCTCTCTCTGTGAATATTTTTAGTAGATTATGCTGCTGATGAAATTGGAGTTGGATTGTACTAACCCAGATAAGGAGCCACGAGGTTGCTATAGCGGAGCTCAATAATCTTCCTTCCTCTCGGGTGCGTAAATTAACTTCCAAAGCCCCTTTCTTTTCCTGTTAAAATGTCTGTCAATGTTTGTGTGCGTAAATTTTACTTATGTAATCATGCAGTACACATACCCACATAGATATTACATCCTTATGCATGGATTTTTAGTTGATTTTTCAATTATGAATCTAACTTGTATCATTAGGGAATTTATTACTTCTGTTTGTATTAATATTAGGTGAGATATTGAGGCTCTCTAGCTAATGTGTGCTGGTCGGGGCAGATATTCATTTTTTTTCCACTCTGTGGTTTAGGGTATAATATGTAAATATGAATTGAATCAAGAATCAAAATATCGTTTCTAAACGACTGAAATNCAGATATTCATTTTTTTTTCACTCTGTGGTTTAGGGTATAATATGTAAATATGAATTGAATCAAGAATCAAAATATCGTTTATAAACGACCGAAACGTTTCTATTTCTAACGCGACTAAAACAAATTAGAGATTGATTCAAAATTTTAATGGTTCGAGTTGTTTTGAGGTATTTCGTATGATTCAAGTTGTTTCAAGATGCTTCAATATGTTTTTACTAATGTTTTGAAATATTTCAAGGTGTTTTGAGATGATCAGATATATTTAGACCAATGATTTGAAATGTTTTGAAAATAAATTTTCAAATTTTTTATTCGTTTCCATTATATTTTTGAAACGCAATGGGCTGAGACGATATTTTGATCCTTGAATTGAAGTGATGCTAAAGGCCGAAATTGGAGTAAGATTACAAGTTCCTGATAAGATTAATGTTTGTTCACGTTTCATGCAATATAGAATTGACAAGTAAATAAATAGCAGTGAAATAAAGGTCCTCTTGAAGCAAGATTAGGATTTTCTGACAAGACCAATGTTGTTCACATTTCACGCAGCATGGATTGATAAGTCAGATTAGTTTAACTGGCAGTCTTTTGGTAGCTGTACCATAGAACCTGGGCTGAATTCCGCCCTCATCTGGGTCAGAGGGCTTTATGGTGTGGGAGGGAGCTACCCCATTATGTAACTTATGTTCAGCCGTTCATCCTCTTTCGCAACACACACATACACACAAAATGGAATGGATGTCATATGAGGAAATATTATTTATTTCTTTGTATAGATGCAATTCATGGTAACTCAGGAGTGATATTTGAAACAATATACATCAAAATATCCTTGTCGAATGGCCTGTTTCATTTATATGATGGTTGACTAGAATTGAAATAATCTCACTAAAAGGAAAATGGAATCAATGAAATCTTGCTCAGGAGCAGACATTGGGCATATTAACTTTTCCCCTTGGGCAGGGAGAGGGTGTATCAATGATGCTAGAATTCCAGAATTTATGCGTTGAGCATTGCCACCTTTCATCCTCACTTAATGACTAAAATTCACTTTGTTTGGACACATGCTTTTTTTACTATCAATTGCGGTTAATATCTTCATTGAATGGGGAAAACTTTCCTAAATAAAAAGGAATATGGTTCTCGTCCATATATATGTATGTTGTGGAAGGAGATTGACTATCATGATGTAGAGCGGATGAGTATTCTGCCTTTGTAGGATTGAGTATTTAGTTAATAAGTTTTTGAAGTCAGGTGGATGTTAGCTATATTTTCATGGATTCTTAGTTTGTTGCAAACCTTCAGCTTGATTGTTCATGGTACATGTTAATACGATAATGCCTTGTGGCAGTATATGAACTATCTTGCATTTGAATGCTTCACAATGCCAAGACAAATGAACTGTTAACTATTGTATGTCATACTATTTGGGGGTGGTGGTGTTGCATGTCATACTAGTTGGGCGTGGTGGTGTTGTATGCAAATTGAATGGCTGACCATATATATAAATATTACAAAGTTCCCTTTAATTTGCTTGGCAAGGAGAGAGAGAAGAAAAGGCGGAGTGGAGAGACTGCATTGTCAATTAGTCAGCCTTCTCTAATCTCTCTCTCTCTCTCTCTCTCTCTCTCACACACACGCACACATACGCATGCGCACACATGACCTTCAGTTTTACTAGGCTTTCTGATAAATTGGAAAGCTCTGGTTATTTGTGTAGGTGACATGTGGCACTCCCCTGCATGTGGGTATGCATGCATAGCACGAATGTTGGGAAGAAGCTGTGGAATTTAACGTTGCCATATGATTAATTAGTAGTGTTATTTATTGAAATATTGCTAATGTCATTTTAGATGCGAGCCTATAGTGAAAAGGATCACTTCCCCAAATCTACGGTTTTGTCCATTATATAGAAATTTTTGCTACAATTGATATGTAGAGTGTTTTAGTACTACAATATTGGTGCAGTTGCTTTTGATTGCAAAGAAATAATTTTGTTACTTGGCCACAGGTGGTCTATCAGATAAACGGGAATATATTTTTCTGTACAACTGTGCAGAAAGCAACAGCCTTTGAACAGAGTAAGAAGTCCCTTTAGCGTGTGCCAAAGTTTCCTCTTTCTTTTTCATGCTGTTCACCCTAGTAATATATTTTTCTTCTCTTTTGTTCTGGGTGACTATTGGACAGGAAAAATCGATACTACCAAAGCTAAGTTACAAAAGTTGAATTCATCTTGATATACTAGGCCTACTTCATAGTTTGCCCATGGTATTTGTTGGTGTCTAGTTATGGGGAACATGTGAAAAAGACCTCTTACCTTTGATATGTGTTTGCCGTTCTGTGTTGTACATATACTCCTTGATGATTTCATTTGAATCAGCTTTATGTGGATTTGGAGATTGTAAATCCTTGAGTAGATTTTTCGGTAATCTGGTTTATAATCACTTTTCATATGCAAGCAGGTTAAAAAAACCCGAAGGCATCACGTTTCACAAATATGCTTTTCGTAGTTTGTTTTCCACAAATAGGATCGGAGCTTCTAATGCCAGGCGAAGAATTCAGCAGGATACTGGCTTATACACATGAATGCTCCATGATAGTTGACTTTGTGTTGCTTTTCTTTCATGCCTTTCTGGGTTCATGGTTCGATATTTTGGTGTCCTAGGCGTAAAGGAACCACACCCGTAGGTTCTGCAGAAAAATAGCTCGACGCCATGATGATAAGTAGGATTCGCAATTGGAATCACGGGAAAGACTTCTTCCCAGACACCCCTGGGCATGGTTTGCTTTCTTGTATTGTCAAAAATTAATCCCAGTTATGAATTAGTGCTTTTAATGCAAAATCAGTTGAGCGTTCGTTGTCTTCAACTGGCTAGTATGGATGAGTAGTGCTTGTCTTGGCTTTTGTTCATTATCTGGTACAGTTCAATATATTTTTCCTTCATGGTATCTGGTTAAGTGTTCACACAAACCATATAAGGTTGGGAGCAGTCCATGATTTACAACATAACATTCACATCACCTTCTCCGTTTTCTTATGATTCTGCATGTCAATCTTTGACTTTACAGTTAATAGTGTTTGAAATGTCTGGTTTTGAGGCTGCCCAACTTGTATTTTTTAGACAGGTAGAGATATCCTGTGAGAAAATGTCCAAATACACTGCCAGTGAATTTCACAGCTTTTGTAAATGGTTTTTCTATTTACCCATTTGGAGCAGTTAGTCTGTATGGCGATTGTCGTAGCCAACAGTCTAATGAGGCAACGATCCAATAGGCCTCCCCACATTGCCCGGGTAGCGAAGGGTCTTACATTATATAGATACACACTCATTTTAGACTGTTGACTCCGTCGATAAGAGGTTTTGGGGTTATCAGCCTGTTATCCCGGCATATCTTTGATCTGTTGAGCGAGGGCTCCCAGTTGGTCTCACAATTATGCAGGTTTATACCGTTTATGCTGACTTGTTTTAAGACCATGGTAGACAATACCATCTCTGTGTATATGGAATGAACTTGGACAAAACCCATCCATGTGGCATCACTGAATTTAATTTTTTCATTAGCATATGAACTCTGTTCCAGAAATTTAGGAGTTGTGCGTGTAAAATTAGCTGCAACGGAGTTACTATGATGTACAGATTGATGAGTGAAGAACCCAAACTGGTCGGGTTGAAAATACAGCCACACTAAAGATCCAAAAAGGGCACCATTAGTTCCAGAAAATGCTGTCAAAATTTTTTTTTTGGAGGGAGGGGCAATAGCGAAGGCGTGGTTCATCTTTTAAGAGAGAGCAGATGCGAAGGTTCAGATCAAAAATCTTTTCGAGATTGCCTATGAATCTCGAGTATTGAGTGTGGGCCTTGAAGACCCTATTGCATTCCGACCCCAAATTCTCACTTTGACACCGCCATCAATATTTGATCCGAACCTAAATTAACATAATTTTAAAAAATTATAATACAATAAGAACTAAATACTTTAATTTAGTGGTGAAGTCTAAATTGACAAAACGCGCATATTTTAATTATATTATAATTGAATGAGGTAGTTCGAATTAATTTAATTTTTTTTATTGTAACTTAAATTCAAAATTTTGTATTTTAACTAAAATATAGTTAATTTTAGTCCATATCTAATTCAATAACAAAGTCCTCTGTTTTCACATTGAATGAATTACATTCCCTCCCCCCTCTTATGTTTCATTGTTTCATTAAGTTATGATTCCGAGTTATAAAAATAGATCACTCGTTATTAATTCAAGTAGTTGCAAAATTAGATACTGTACACAAGTGATTTAATTGAATACATGTAACTTTTTTTCATTCTCGTCATACTTAAAAAGAATCGTGCATTAAATCGACTTTTTATTGAAGGATTGTTTATACTGTTTTGTCAAGTTTACCGTTATTTTAAAAATTGCTCAATTTACTACTTACTATTTGACTTAACTACTGAAAATTCATTATTCTTCATGAGAGAATAAAGAAATATATAATAAGTAAATCTACATAAATTTGGATGACTAAACTACATTTGGGGAAATTCCAATAGGATTCTATGTGTTAAAAAAAAAACAACGATAACTTTGGCCTTTTCTTCCAGCTTGTTCAGGAAATTCAGTTAAAAAAGTGGTATTCAAACCCAAATTTTTGTCTTGAACAAAAAAAAAACAACCTAAATTTTGTAACTCTCNTACATAAATTTGGATGACTAAGCTACATTTGGAGAAATTCAAGTAGGATTCTATGCGGTAAAAAAGTGGAATTCAAACCCAATTTTTTGTCCTGACCAAAAAAAAAAAAAAACACTCAAATTTTGTAACTCTCAAAAAAATTATTAGGGCAAATTTCAATTTAAAAAACATATTATTTTACACCCTCAGAGTAAATGTCTCATATTACGCCTTCAATGTATTAAAAGTATTGTAATATAATATTTATTTTAATTTTTGTTATTCATTCTGTCAACATCAATAAAGTAATTTCTGACAAAATAAACAATTCAAGTCAAGGAAATGTTATATTATTAACACTTTTAATACATTAACAATATAATGTACAAAATCCAATCTTTAAAGGTATGAAGTAAAAAAATCTTAAAATCTTTCGGACTGCAAAATAAAATCCTCTCAAATTATTAATCTATTTTTTCTTCTCTTTGTGGGTAGTATTTGCATTTTTTAATTTGGATGTAACATAATCATTAGTAAAATGACAAATGCTCATTGGACCATGCAACAAGTGAGCCTTACCATAAAAATGGGTCCAAACCAAGGGATTAAGTGACAAGGTAACAAGTGCACCCATTGGTTTGAAATCACTCCAACACCACCAATTTTAAAGGATATTTTTTTATTTTTGGAAAGTAATTTTTATAGATTTTTTTTTTTAACTAAAGAAGTAAATTATATATTCAAAACATACATATGCGTTCGGAAAAATATTTTTTTTTCCATCTCAATAACAGCATTCATTTTGATATTTTTAGCCCAGGGAACGAGGAACGAGCGTTTTTTTATGAAGATAACATAACAATGCAAAACAGAGATACATCTTGCAAATACATTCATAAGGGCAATCACTTTAGATACACTAAATGTCGAATGACCCTTTGACACCATCCAGACTCTCTCCTAGTGATAATCTGCCAGTACAAACAACAATAGAAGTTGGTTATTTAAATGTATAGTGAAAAGAAAAAAAAATAGGGAAGAAAAGAAACCTGCATGGACATACCAAATAGACCAAACATGTATGAGAAGATGAAGGCAGACTAGAAAAGCTAAAGATGGAGGCAAACTATAAACCCAAAAAAAAGAAAGAGAAAATAAAGCCACTAGTGTAGAGGTTTCCACTCTCATTTACAAAAGCATCACAATTTTATTATCATTTTAAAGACAATTACTCAGCTCAAGAAAGTCTTTGTTAGGATGGAACTTCGTGTCCTTAACAATCAGTCTCAAGAGGAAACCCCAAAATCAAATCCCCCCCCCCCTTTTTCTCCTTCCTTTACACCTGAATTCCTACACTGACAATGATGGAGAAAAAGTTTCAAAACACTTGCACATGAGACATCATTTTGGAGTTGTTCACATAACAATTAAGAATCAAACATATATGCAATAGAAAAAGCATTATTCTTAAACTAAGCATGATCATTAGACATCCATGCTTGAACGTGAAGAGACAAACACAACAAACATGACATAACACCAACGTATTAACTAAACACATACCATACTAACAGAATACTAAATGAAAGGTGTAACCAGCATACAGGATGACATGCGATAACCTCCCAAAACACCAGGGCTGTGATCTCATGTTAAAATATCTAATCCAAAACCAGTTGGGTATAAGTCAGATCCACAATGTTACTCTAGAAGGTTATCTCCACTAGCAATGAGACAACCTCTAACACAGTATATATATCCTCTTCGGCCAAGATTTAAAAAAAATCAAATTTATGTGCTAATCATGTGTTGCCAGCACTAGGATAGCCAGTTTTCCTTCTTATCCTCATCAAAGTGTCAGCATCAGAGTACTTTCATGCCAAATATGCCAAAAAAAAAACCAGGGAAAAGGATCTCAAGCAGTACCCCTCTAAACTAAGAACCCTCCTATGAAACCCCAACTCGATGATATAATGGTAATTCCCCAATTAAGTTCCTGATAACTGAGGTTGCAAGGAGGGGCAGATGATGTACACACCAAACAGTCAATATTTGAACAGAATTGTTATTTGAGATATTGCTACAATTCATGAAAAGTTACATGTAAAATACAAACTGAGGCAAGTTGAGGGAAACTCGTCTAGATTACTTTATCCTAGGTGGTTATACTTAAATAAGACTGGTGAATGCACCAGTTCACAGCAATGAAAAAGGAACAAAGGAAGGCACGTGACCATGGATTGTGGCAATGAGAAAAGAAATAAGAACACCACAAATTCATCCCCATATTAGGACCAAAAGGCTAGAAGGATTAGGGCAGCCAACCCAACCCAAAGTAGTTGATTAATTTCACTTTCAGTACAAAAGAGAAGAGTAGGTGAAATTATAAGTGAGAAGCCAACACCAAGTCACCAACTAAAACAAATCAAAGTGAGAGAGAGCAGACAAAAGAGAAGAATAAGTGAAATTATAAGTGAGAAGCCAACACTAGAAAGGCCATCAAGTCACCAACTATACATCCGCAGATATTCAAACACAAGATCCAAATGAAGCTATAATTGTCACCTATTAGAGCCTAGTACAGACGTGACTGACCCATGGTAGCTTTGGGTCAATGTGGAATTGTGGATGTCTGACAAGGAATGATGTGGCATCAAGGAGAATTCAGAGACAATACTCGAATGAGGTATCTTGCAGGAGTTGCTGAAGCAATTTGGGCTGAAAGTTCATTAGAACATGAAATCAATAATAATTCTGGCTCATGCAAGACACCTTCCCAGGATTGGTCTCATGATTTCTAAGCCTAAAGTGTATTGCAACTTAAGAATTGAGTTTATCTAAACCCAAATGCAGTCAAATCTGTTGCTCACTAGGCTGCCTGTATGCAAAGGCAAGAGTTGCTTGCCTCATACACAAGAACCCCGTAGATTAAAAATATAGGTATATTGTAATCAGTGAATAATAGTTTAATACAGTAAATGGAAATAGATAAATATGACAAAATAGAATGCGGCTAGATCATGAGTAATGCAGCAATCAACAA